GTAAACTCTATGGAGAAAAATTAAGCTTGGAAGAGGGACAGAGCCTATCAGGTAGATGAGGATTATGATTTTAAACAGGGTCACCAGCAAAGCCCTCCAAGTTCATAACTAGACAAAGACTTGAAGGAGGTGAGCAAATTAGCTGCATGGACATCTGGGAGAGGAACATTTGTGGGGAAGAAACAAAACAATAACAAATTTCCCTGAAGCAGGAGTGTGACTGGAACCTTAGATGAACTGCCAGGAGGCCAGTGTGGCAAAGGATAGAGTGGGAGACGATGTGGGACATGAAGTCAGGGAAGTAAGGGAGTGGTGGGGTCATGAGTCCAGTCTGTGTATCCCTTTGAAAGCCATTGGAAAGGCTTGGGCTTTCACCATGAACAGAGTAAGAAGTTATTAGAATGCTTTTAGCAGAAGAGTTGCATGATCTGATGATTATACCTCTATCTTACAGATGAGGAAACAGATTCAGAAGGTTCAGCAGATTGCCTAAAATCACACAACTAGGAATTGACAGGCCTGTGAGGAGAACCATATACTCTTTGACAGGAAAAGACAAAAGCAATTGGCCCTTTGTGTGGAAGTCTTAGACTGGGGGGTGGGGAGGGGTGTTGGGATAAAGGATAAAACATACTATTTGCACTGGAAAAATGGATGGAGTAGGTGAGAGGGCGGGGTCTATGAAGGACTATGATCCAGTGGATTCTTTTTGCAGTAATATATTAGGGAAACACAGAACTCCCTGAATCCCTTTGTATCCTAAAATGCAAAGAAGAGGCAGTTGCTACTGAAAATGTCAGGGGGTGGTCCTTAAGACCAATGGCAATTAAATAGCTCTACAAAGTGGTACATAAACCCAAGGGACTAGTGACCTTGTGTATGTTGCAAGAGAAATAAATGGGTCATGGAAGGGTTGACAGAAGTTCAAGGAAACTAAACCCTATGGGTCATTCCAGGAGAAACAGCGATATATGGGTAACAATTTTCCCTGGCCTCTGTAATTAAGAGTGTCCTAGTGTTGTCTTGCCTTGTGTTTCTGGCCCAGACACAGCCCAGACTCTGATCCAGGTTGGAGTTGGGGTTCTCATATTCCAGTGACCAACATGTGCACACAGTGGGAAACCTCTGTGACTCTCCCTTCACGTATGTGAAAACAGTCTTTGATCCATAAATGATATTCTTTGATTACTTTCATTGGCTCCCCTTGTGATAGTTTTGGTGGGTTTGGGAAATAGAAAAGGAGGCAAGGATGAGACCAGGTGAGGGTGCTCCCTAGCGAGCCTGTTCATTGGCCACATGTTGTAATGGAACGTGCCCTGGATGGAATTCAGAAATTCCTGTCTAATGTTTGCTCCTACCTGAGCAAATTTCTTTCCTCCTCTGTGGGCCTCAGTCCCAATATAGTGGGGCCAAGCTCTGTGCTTGGAAAGGCCCTTGCTAGCCCTCCATCCCATGTTTCTACAATATAATAATCTAACAATCGAGGAGGAATCCCATATTGTCACTGGAATAATGGTTCAGAGGATCTCTGGCAAAATCTCAGACCTGAGCATGGAGTAGAGACACACACAGATATGGGATCTAAAGGAGGGGAATTCTGTAGTGTCTTCTCAGACACAGAAGTGAGATGTCTCATTGGATACCAATATGCCCGTGCCCTCCATCTCCCAGGTATCTGGCTTCTCACTTCCTCCTATTTCTCTTCCACAAAAAGGAGGGATCCAGATTTCGACCTTGAGTGCCTGCTGTCTCTGATCAAGGACAGCTCCCAGGATGTGAGGAGACCTGGGCCCTGCCTTCAGGGAGTCACATGTCAAATTGGGTACTTCCCCCTCTGGGTCTCCTGGTCAGAGTTGGGATACCGTTGAGTTGAAATCTTGGTTTGGTTCATGCACTCAGAGGTACAACTTCAAACATGCAATTCATGTCAGGATGCATTGATGCTGGTATTGTTAGGGACCTTAAAATAATCTAGTACATGTTTTCTGACTGTCCAAATGGTAAGTCCTAAAATGAGCTAACCAGAGGACTATAGAGAGCTTTTAAAGACCAGAAGGTCTTCCTAAGAAGAACAGCCCATTAGTCCAGATGAATCAGCTATTGCATTGTGTTAAGGCAGCGGCCAGACCCCATGATATGTATTAATCCCCTCTACCTTAGAGATGCCATAATTCTGAATCTGTGTTTCTGTATTCTGTGAATCCATGATTCTCTCTACATATTACCCTGTGAGTCTACCAGACTAGTATTGCATAAATCCATAGGTCTCTCTTTCTATGTGCTTGTGTCCAAAGAGATAAGTGGGCCCTTTTGGGAATAACCCTGTGACTCACCCTCACACTTGTACCAGTCATCTGACTTCTCCATACCTCAATTTCCCAGCCTATAAAATGGGTGGGACACAGCCCCCCACCTCTTTTGGTGGCTCGTGGAAACTGTATCTCTCACCAGAGATATTAGTGCTTCCTGAAGATGTTAAACCCATTAGTGACAGCTTAGCCCCACAGAGGAGGAAGTGAGCCAATCAGAGCTCATGGATGGCTCAAGGTGCACAGATTGGCTAATAGTAGGATGTCATTGGCCATATGGAGGAAGGAGGTTGGTTTAGGGTGTACTGTCATTGGAAAGCACACTCATTCAGTCAATCATTCATTCATTGGTCTAGTTAGTGTTCTCCAGGTCCTCCAGTTGAGCCAGATGATATACAGTGAATGTGTCCACAGTTATAAATGCATAGAAATTATGGTCTAGTGGGAATGACTCCATGAATAGTGAGGGTATAAATACATTTCCTTTGTAGGATAAGCCTCTACAATCATAGAATATCATAGCCAGGAGGGGCTTCACTGACTATTTTATGGTGGAAGATAAAAAGCGTAGAGATAGCAGAACACATGGGGGCCACACTATGAGGCAATGACAGAATCAGAACTAGGATGAGTTTCATTTGTGTTTTGAACTATCTCTCTTGTTTTGTTGATGTGCCTTAAAATGATTGCCCTTCTATGGCATTTTTTTTCTGTAGAGAGTGGGGTTGTCCCATCCTATGTCTGAGTTATAAGACTTCTTAATAACTGTGTCTGTTGGTCTGCTAAAAGGTATAGTTCTTAAAGCATCCTGTATTTCAACACTAAAAACAGCTGTTTTGGCAGAAAAAAAAAGAAGAGTAAATTTGGGTTCAAATTCTGGATCTACTACTTTAAGCTATGTGAGCTTTGGCAGGTTTTTAAAACTTATTTAAGACACTATTATGGAGACTAAATGTGATGAACTAACCATGTGATATGTATGGCCCCAGTAAAAGATCATTCTTGTCCCATTGTTCTCATAAAACATCAGGCCTGGATGCCAGCTGAGGTGGGACACAGAATAGGTAATGGAATAACCTAACACCACTTTCACAGATGGTAGGTTTCACAGATGAAGCTATGGAGTGCTACAAGCCCACCCAACACAGGAATGATGGGGGAAAGCAGGAAACTTTCCAAGTCTGGGGCAGAATCTCCCCCTTGCTTCCTCCAAACCGCTCAGGGGAAGACCCTGCAAGACCTGGCTTGGGCTGGGGAAGTGTCTGAGGACTAGTGGGGGTTTGTCTTCTTTGTTGAGGAAATTGGAAGCTTTAAGATTTATGGTCATGGAAAAATTGGGATCCGTTATGGACAAATGTAGAAACACTTTTTCCTTACGTGCTGTTGGGCCACAGTGGGGCCTGCACTACTGATCTGAGGGAGTGGTAGTTTGCAACTAGGGCTTGGCTCAGGATCAAGATACCTTTCTGCATTGGGCAACTTGATATGGATCAGTGAGAAGAGCGTGGGCTCTGTAAATAAGCAGGCCTGGGTTCAAGTGATACTCCATTGCCTACCAATGGGACTACCTTGGTGAAATAGGCCTCTGGGTCTTAGTTTCCTTGTAAAATAGGACTAGTATAACTTACCTCACAAGATGTGCTTAATATATATCATTGCCATTTTTCTTGCTGTATTTACTGCACTGAAGAAAGGGAAGGAGGCAGATATTCAGGGACAGTGTTATGTCCAGAAATAAAAGGCATGTTGTAGCAATAAAGACCATGGCTTATGAAGGCAGACTGCATTTATGTGAATTCTAGCTTCTTACCTAATTGCTTTGTGACAATGGGGAACTTCCTTAATCTTTTAGGGCCTCAGTTACAGGGTCTTCTGTAAATGTACACCCCTATGAACTGTTTGGCACATATGAAGCATTCAGTTAAATGTTAGAGTTTACAATTGTTATCACACAGTGTTCATTTGGCTGGAATTCCCACTGTGCTGGTATCTAGGCCCAGTATTGAGGTCCAGAAAGGTGAGGATGAAGAGTTTATAGGGCATGTAAAGTTGAGGATGTGGGATATAGGGCATGATAAACTGAGTAGAGACACCCTAGATATAGAGGCTGAGCTCTGAGATCATTAAGCACCCACCCAGTTTCCTAAATAAACAGAATAACCTGCCAGTCCATGGAGCAAACCCGGAGTTCTTGGGGGGGGGGGGGGGCTTTACTGCCATCCTGAGGCAGAGACCACTGGGACCAGCAACCCAAACCAGCAGGACCCACCATGGGGCCCCTCAGAAAGAAGTCACTATGCAGGCTGAGGAGAGGCACAATATAGCTTTTGGCACAGTGTATGAAAAATTGAGATGCTAACTGTATTTTGAAAAAGTCCTTGAAGACTCATGTGACCTAGAAACAGCTCCATAGGTACAGATCTCATAGGAATCTCCACTCTCATAACTTCTAGAGAAAGAAGGCTGACTTGTTTCATGAAGAAGGCCAAAGGAATCATTTATCTTGTGTTCAGGAAAATTCAATGTCAAGCAGAGACATGCCCTGCCTCTGAGTGAAGAGCCAGGCATACTGGGGAGGAATCTCACCAATGCAGTGCCAGCCCTGGTCCTCGTGATCTCTTCTGCTTCATTCAGATGCCATTAAATTGCCTCACTGCCACCCTATAAAAGGCCTTCCTAGTGGCCAGCATCTCAGATCCTTGGCCTCTCCCCGTCTTGCTCCGTCAGCGAAGAAGGTAAGTCTATGCCTGGGTTAGGGATACAACTAGGAAGGAGAGGTGACATTGGGGTGGGTTGAAGGTGGTCAAAATGAGGCATGAGGGTAGCCATTGAAGGAGCTAGGGTAGAGCTGGCGGGAAGTGCAGAGACTGGGGTCTGAGGGGGAGAGGCAGAGGTACAGAACTAGGGCCAAGCTGTTGGTCCTGTGTGAGAAGGGGTTGTCAGAGAACAACGACACTTTCTCTCCCTGAGTGCAGTTGTGCAGTCCTCTCATGTATCCATTTATGTGGTGAAGTGATAGTCCAGCCGGCCTGAAGAGCAAATGGTGGAAACTCAAACTCCAGACTTGTCATGCTCTGTAGGGCTCAACTTGAGACTCACATTGGTTCTGGGTCTACTGACAAGAACTTGCTTTCCCTGGGTACTGCCTGGCCTGGCAGGAAGGAGTAAGAAAGCCAGTCCTGAGAGAGCTGGCAATGAGGGGAAATAATGTTCTAAGGAGAATCTGTAATACAGGCAACAAAGTGAGTAAGAAAAGAGGAGGCTTGGAGAATTGGGTAGAAACAGACATCACTCCTTCCAGCCCTTCATTTTCCACTATGGAAACTGAGGCACATGTCCAGCAACAGGCACAAGAGCCAAGCAAGATCCCTGGCTTTGAGTCCACCCTATGTCAGGTCTGAGTGCCTGTGACCTTCTCAAAAGTGTTCCTGCTTACAGATCATTCTATTCATATGGGATGCTGAGGGTTTCCCTGGAAACCTTCTAGTTCTGATGAGACCTTTCTTTTCAGATTTTACAAAACCACAGGAAGATGTGTGATCAGCAGAAGCAGCAACAGTTCCCCCCATCTTGTGTGAAAGGTTCTGGATTGGGAGCTGTGCAGAGTACCAAAGGTACCTCTGTGAAATGCCCAGCTCCATCCCAGACCCAAACCTATGTGAAATGTGTAACTCCTTGCCAGACTCAGACCTATGTAAAATGCCCATCTCCATGCCCAACTCAGACCTATGTGAAATGTGTAACTCCTTGCCAGACTCAGACCTATGTTAAAGGCCCACCTCCATGCCCGACTCAGACCTATGTGAAATGTATAACTCCTTGCCAGACTCAGACCTATGTGAAATGCCCAGCTCCTTGTCAGACGTACATGAAGTGCCCAGCTCTGTGCCAGACAACCTATGTGAAGTGCCCAACTCCCTGCCAGACCCAGACTTGCTATGGTCAGGGCCCTTCTCCTGGCCAGACCTACTATATTCAGGCTCCTGCAAGTAGCTTGACCACCTCATGCGGTGCACCTGATCCATGCTCTGCACCCTGTTCCACCAGCTACTGCTGCCTGGCTCCCCGGACCTTCGGGGTGAGTCCCCTGAGACGCTGGGTCCAAAGGCCCCAAGACTGCAACTCAGGATCATCTGGCTGCTGCGAAGATTCTGGGTGCTGCAGCTGTGGGGGCTGCAGTTGTGGTGGCTGTGGCTCTGGGTGCTGCTGCTTGGGAATTATCCCCATGAGGTCCCGAGGTCCTGCATGCTGTGATCGTGATGATGACTGCTGTTGTTAAATACAAAACAGCCTTGCTCCACCTTCTGGAACATTCACCAGCCTCTGGCCCCACTTCCCTATATTCCCAATGATGTAGAATCTCATTGCTTCACTGTGTACTTTGCTTCTCTATGAAGGCAACCTGCTGGAGTTAACGCTCTCCCCAAACTTTGGCAAGAATAAAGCTCTGAATGCAATTCATAATGGTGTCCTGTCTATTTGGTCCATATTTCTACTTTTCTATCAGAAACTCTTCCTCTCTTCTTCTTGCTTCTCAACTAGAGGAAAGGTCTGCATGGACATGAATAAGCAGACCAAGCTGGAATAATCCTAGCCTGGGATTCTGGACCATTCTAGAATGCCCCTAATAAACTTCCCCATGCAAGTTAGCTGGAGATTTGGGGGTCAGAAGATGCCTTTTTCCTGCCCTCTGATGAGTGTAAGGAGAGGGATTGGCTATGCTTAGGCTCTCATGGTAGCATGATTGTTGCATGTGAACTCAGGGTTCAGCTTCCTGGATGTTGAAGGGTCTGTGAAATCAGATCTCTTCAGGAGCCTTAAGAAGATGCCCCTTGCTTGTGTGGGAGTGGCTCTATGGATTCCATTATCTCATCTGATGGGTTTGGCCCCCTGAAGCCCCAGAGGAAAGACCTGAGGGAAAGCATGGGGAACCACCCTCAGGTGGTTTCCACTCAGCAGGTGGAAATTCCCCACGTTAGCCAGGGAGACAGCCCTAGGAGTGAGCCTCTTGGCTTAAGCATCTGGTCCTGGGCTTCCTCACTAGCACTTCCTCCTCCATTACTTTGATAACCCGGGGGTTTGGGGTGGGTTTTTATAGCTAGAAACTGTAAACCCACACAGCAAAAAGGAAATAAGTAGGGGGTAAGTGCTCTTCAGCACAATCCCACAAACCCTGGTGCATGAGCAGAGGTGGCAGCACTTTTGGTGAATATGTAAAGGAACATTCCAACTAGAACTGGGAAATTGAGTTCGTTTTTAAGCAACCTCTCTCGGGTTATGCTGGGACACTTGTGGAGTATCATCTGGACTACTGTGCTGCCTTGGAATATCTAAGTCACCCATGATCCCCCAAATCACACTCCATCCCTCCAGCCAAACTCACTGCAGCCAGATCTCTGGGCACCATGATCTCCTCTCGTACCACCTAGTAGCTCTGGCAATGTTGGTCTCTGTGCTGCTCCTTCAGCAATGAATGTGGGCATGTAATGTTTTTATATTTATTAATTAAAAATTAGGTAAGTAGCACAAACTATGTAAACATTCGAATAGTATAGTTGATGTTTGAATAATGCAGGGGTTAGGGGCGCCAATCTCCCCTATAGTCTAAAATCCACACTTCTGACTCCGCGGAAAGGTAACTACTAATAGCCTACTGTTCACCTTACTGATAAGATAATCAATTAACACATATTTTGTATGTTATGTGTATTTTATACTGTATTCTTATAATGAAGTGAGCTAGAGAAAAGGAAGTATTATTGAGAAAATCATAAGACAGAGAAAATACACTTATAATACTGTATTCATTGAAAAAAAAAATATAATTGGACCTGTACAGTTCGAATCCATGTTGTTCGAGGATCAACTGCATGACTTTTATAGACAAAAATTACTTTTTAATTTCCAATTCCATCTCCTCTCCCTCATATCAGGGAGATCATATGACAGTTGTCTTTCTCTGATTGACTTATTTCGCTAAGCATGATACCCTCTAGTTCCATCCACGTTGTCGCAAATGGCAAGATTTCATTTCTTTTGATGGCTGCATAGTATTCCATTATATATATATACCACATCTTCTTTATCCATTCGTCTGTTGATGGACATCTAGGTTCTTTCCATAGTTTGGCTATTGTAGACATTGCTGCTATAAACATTCGGGTGCACGTGCCCCTTCGGATCACTACGTTTGTATCTTTAGGGTAAATACCCAGCAGTGCAATTGCTGGGTCATAGGGTAGTTCTATTTTCAACATTTTGAGGAACCTCCATGCTGTTTTCCAGAGTGGTTGCACCAGCTTGCATTCCCACCAACAGTGTAGGAGGGTTCCCCTTTCTCCGCATCCTCGCCAGCATCTGTCATTTCCGGACTTGTTAATTTTAGCCATTCTGACTGGTGTGAGGTGGTATCTCATTGTGGTTTTGATTTGTATTTCTCTGATGCCGAGTGATATGGAGCACATCCTATTCCAGGGATGACCCTGGATTAGAGTTTTGATTAGATCTTTGTCTAGCCCCACCGTGGCCCAACATATGTAGAGAATGGATAGCATCCTAAAAGCCCAGCCCATCACTGATGTGTCAGTAAAGTATTGTTGGGAATCCATTTTATAACTCATAATAAACTTCTAAAATTCCCATTTTCTCTCCTCTTCAATTCTCCCATATCTTGAGCACAGATGCTCAAGCTTCCTTCACTGAGAGCCCCCAAATCCTCTCTAACATCTAGACAGTGTAGCTTCTTTGTCTCCTTCTCCCTTGCCACCCCCTCAACCCAGCAGACCCAAGTCTGGTCCTGGTTGTGTAGCCTGAACCTCCCTGGCTGATTTGCTAGTTTTCTCTATTCTTTGCCCAATCCTGGGATTCTCCTTTCTAGAGGAACTCACCCAGGAAGAAAAACCTCTCCTTTTCTCCCAGCTGTCTAGCTCTATGCCATTCTGTTCATTTTGTACAGGGAAGAGAAAAGAGACTATAAAGTTTAAAAGGCAAACACATAATTCTCTTGGTACAGAGCATAAGTAAAAGAAATGTAGAAGAAAGAAAACACATGGATTAGTAAATGTCAACCCATTACATAGCCTGAAGATTGCTCTATGATGACCTATTTTCATTTAATAGTGAATATTCAACTCAATATTGAAATTTAATTGAAATATTCAACTCAAGTTTTGGTTAGTACATATAATTGTATCTTTTTCTCTTTGTTGTTTGCTTTCTGACATTTCTGTCGTCTGGCTAAGCAGTGATATATTTAACCACCCCCTTATTGCCCTTTTTGACATGTATTTTGATTTCTCTTTCTTTTTTTCTCCTTCTGTCTTTCTTTCTCTTGATTTTTGCCTCACTTTGTCTCTTTCTCATTATTGTATGAGTTGCTATTAAGGTCTTTGTAAATATTTTAAACATTTTATGTTGAAATATAAAAGTATAGAAAAGTACACAAATCATAAGTTCATCATTCAACAAACACATCTCTATAGCTACCACCTAGATCCAAGAAAGTTAATGTCATGTTGAAAGCAAATCAAAGTCTCTGATCCCCAAAGAGCGGGGCACTAAGTTTGGAGGCATGAGGTGGAGCAGAATAGAAATATCCTTCTACAACTCCAGAGCTTTGGAAGAGCGCTGCTTGTGTGCAAGGGATGTATATGTAGGAAAGTCCATGTGAGGAGAAGCAGCCAATGGAATCCAGGCTTTAAAGTCACCCCAGGTGTATAGTTAGGAGTACCTCCAAAAGAACCCCAACACATGGTGCTGGACTCCCCTGCCTTATACAGACCTCAGGATACTGAGAAGCCAGACGCCAGAACCTGAGAAGCCTGTGTGAGCTTGGCCAGTCTGGAAGTAACTTTTGTGTCTGATTTTCATTAATTCATCTAACAAATAGATGCTGAACAACTATTTTCTTCCAGGCACCATCACTGCCATTTTGGAGTTTACAGCAAAGAGGGAGAATAAACAATAAAAACCCAATAAATAAATGTAAAGGTGCACAGCTATGAAGGGTACTGGGTGCCCTGACATCCTGCAATATACAGATTTTACCTGTTCAGGGAGATCAGAAAGGACTTCTTTGAGAAAGTGCAAATCAATCTCAAGGTTGATTAACTCAAGGAGTTAATTACTGAGCAACAAAGAAAGGCCTCTCCAGGCAGAGGCAGAAGCACAGCCTGGGACTCTGTGGGAGGAGGGGACCTGACAGGAGTAAGGAGCTGAAGGGAGAGAGTGCACAGTGAGACAGAAGGGCAGGAGTATCTGATGGGTGCTACTACGGGTGGGGATGGATGGTGTTGCTGGAGATATCCATTCAGCCAAAGGGAGCTGTTGTGAGGTTTCAGGGAGGCAGGTGGTAAATACTATATTATTTGTGCCTCTTAAAGTTTATTTTTCTCTGCAAAAATAATTCCTATTCAGAGAGAGTCAATTATCATATGGTTTCACTTATTTGTGGAACATAACAAATAGCATGGAGGACATGGGGAGTTAGGAGAAGGGAGTTGGGGGAAATTGGAAGGGGAGGTGAACAATGAGAGACTATGGACTCTGAAAAACAATCTGAAGGGTTTGAAGAGGTCGGGGGGTGGGAGGTTGGGGGAACCAGGTGATGGTTATTAGAGAGGGCACAGATTGCATGGAGCACTGGGTGTGGTGTAAAAACAATGAATACTATTACGCTGAAAATAAATTTAAAAAATGAATATAAAAAAATTTTACAATTAAAAAAATTCCTATTTTTAGAGCATATAAAGGATAATCTAAAACAACTACCTAGTAGCATTAATTTATCTGGCTCTTTCCTACCCTGCCCTGTGTAGCTGCCCAGTTCTGGGTCTGGCTTGTATAGGTACCATATGACAGCTTGGGCCACTCTGTGAGTAAAGGTGCCTTCAAGTGCCAGCATCAGGTGGTCTTTGCTCACAGCTGGTTCTCTCATCTCTACAATTGATGGGTTAGAAAAGAATACAATATTCAGTTTCAGGACGTTTTAAGGCAAATCAAAAGTTCTACCATGTTTTGTTTTTTTATAGTTAAACAAATCTTGATGTGTCATTTTTTATGTAAATTAATCCAGATTTCCTGACTCCTAGTCCCTCTACACTAATTATAGAGAACTTATTGGGAATAAGTTAAAGGAAATGGAAAGTCCAGAACATGAAGCAAATCCCTGGGAGATTGGGGACAGTGTGCTTGGATGTGCTGCTCTCCTGGGCTCTTTCAAGAGTCTGCTTTCCCACAGTTTTTCTGGAATAGAAAATTCTACTGACTTGAATCCTAATTCCACTTCCCTGTATAGACTAGTTTTTAATTATGTTTTCTCTCAGGAAAATGTTTATGCCAAAATTATTCACAAGTAAGTCTAATACATATAGATAGGCCTCATAATATTTCCAAATTTAAGAAATAAA